AGCGTCTGGAAAAAAAAAAAAGCAAAACAACAACAAAACTTTACATTCCCCATTGGATCATAGGTTTGTTCCCCCGATCATCACTTATTTGGAGGAGAGCTAAAATGATTGTGAATGTTTTGTTTTGCTTCCTCATTGTATAATCAGATGTGAGATCAATTCACTCAGTAGGTGATGAACAGTATCGATCACATAAGTAATAACCATGGTTGGCAAAGACATACAAGCACAAAACAATATCATTACATTTGTCTAGATCAGTAAAGGTTTATTATTTTTTTCTTCTAAGAGATATTTAAAATCAATGCCATGCTATCTCAGATTATAAAACAGTTTTAATATAGGTAGGATTTTGGCCTTATTCAATGAACGGTCTTTCTTTAAAAACAGATACTATTTCTTTTTAATAATGAATACATCAAAATCTACTTCAGCTACTTAAAAAGCAGATCAACACATCTCTTTATGCAATATGGACCATATTACATATTAAAGTTGTGTGTACACATTGTATTCATATGCATACAGAAATATGTATATCTATTGTACATTTTTATTACTTCATGTATAGGGGATGTATGGTATGCATACAGCATATTCCAGTAGGATACAGTAATTATGCACACATTTCATGCTGCAGCGTGCACCCTTTTAAGAGAAGCATATTTAAGAGGCCCGGTATTGTATGTACATGCTGAAAATACACTTTGCACAATTTCACCTGGCATTGTGTGCTTTCCTGCTCTATTTGTAACTTTAGTGCTATTCTTGTGGAAAGTAAGATTATTAAAGCAGAAGACAAGGATTAGCTGAATTGAATGAATTACAACGGAGACAGACTGTTAGACTGTGTCCCTCTCTGGAAGAGCCTTATGCATGGCCTTACACCTATGGCCATCCTTTTGAAGTCTTGCCTCTATGTTTCAACCCATACCAGCAACCCATCTTGGTTGACAAAAAGACAAGTAGTAATGAAAAATAACAAGACTATCCAGGACCCAAAACTAAATCTACTTCTACCTCTTCTCAGTGCTTGCCAAATTAGAGGCTATGGCTTAACTCTTTAAAACTGAGATTTAACAAGGATATGGGTGAGAAGGGGATTAAACGGAGAACATTCCCTCTTCAAGCCATCCATTTCACGTGTCCAAACAAAACCTTAGTTCTTTAGGTTATTGCTTTGAGGCTAGGACAAATAGAAGTTAAAGGAAAAGTCAACTTGGTAGAAAAGAGACAATTCTTCCTGCCATCAATATTGGCTGTATATTTCACATTCAGGAAAAAGAAAGCTGTAACTCTGACAGAAAACAATGCATCCACTGACAAACACTTCCTGTGGCCGTGACTCAGTTCCTACTTCTAAACGTTTTAATGTATTTGCTTCATGGTTTTTTAAGTCATATTATCCAACAGAATGGTAAGGTTATATGGACACAAAGTCTGATTCCTTCGTATCTTAGAACTATTTCTTCATGTTTGCCAAATTGGAGCTTATATTCTAATTCTTGGAACTAATCAACTTAATCCACTTTATGAGAATTCAGAGAGGTAAAACAGTCAGAAGGGATCTGACTTGTCTGGTTTGGTCTGAGCTTCTAACATGCCAATTTCTCAGATACACTAGACTCAATAGAGAGTAGTAGCTCCAAGAAACAATAGGTAAATGTGAGTTTTCTTTAATAAGATGAGAATTTTTCATTGTGGTTTAGAAAATGGTAGATTCCTTTCTTACTTCCATGTTTTAGAGATCTCTACAAATAGCTCCAAAATGAATATTAGGCAAAATATTTCAGATAGCTTGTTCGTGTTTCTCTCCAAAGCTCTCCATTTTTCATGGTTTCCAACCCCATCTTCACCTTTTTTTTTCTGGCTCCATTTGGAGAAAAGTCTCAATCTGTCACTAACTTTTTCATGAAATCCTACTAATCTCCCTGTTAGCAAGGCCTTTTGCCTAAGCTCAAGAAGACACGAATATCAACACCAGTGGGGAGATCTCAGGATCATGAATTTTGAACTACATGAGACTTTAGAATTTATGTAGTTCAACACCATCATTTTATAGATGAGGAAATAGTAGACCTGAGATGTTAAATGATTTGTCCAAGGTCACCCAGGTGGTAGATGTAGAGAGGTATTTTGGGATAATGGATAGAGCAATGAACTCAAAGCCAAGAAGACTTGATTTTGGATCCTGCCTCTAACATTACTAGTCAAATGATCATGGGTGAGTCTCTCAATATATTTGAGCCTCACTTTTCTCAGTTATAAATATGAGGGTACTAATATCTACAATACGTACCTCAAGGGTTGTTAAGAGGCACAAATGAGATAATGTAACTAAAATGTGAAAAGAATTATGCCATTTATTAGTAAGTAGCAATATTGTTAATTAGAACCTACAGGAAATCCCAGCAGTCTTTCTGCTGAACCACACTGCAGGGGTATCAGGAAGTATCTGAATCCAGGATGGATTGTAAGCATATTTAACAGATCTCCAGAACCTTGAATCATCAATCTTTGAATGTAGATTTTTTCCATTATTTAATTACTCAATCAACCAAACTGTTGCTTTATTTGCGAAGGTCAAGCAACTGGTACGTGTGTGTGTGTGTGTGTGTGTGTGTGTGTGTGTGTGTGTGTGTTTGTTTCACCTCCCAGTTGTCCATAGATATATCTTGAATAAACTGAAGCAGAGAATGAAAGTTTGACTTTGAAACATCATGACGATGGAAACTAAATTAATTAAATGTTTGTATCTACACAGATAAAACAGGTTTCTTTTTAAAGTTGATATCAAATGGTTACTTTGGAAAGTTCAATTTAGTCAAGAAATGAGATTGTTTTCTTTTTGTTATTATTGTCATTGTTTAAAAATAATAGTTAAACTGACTGATGTATATAGTAAAGAGTCTCAAAGGTAAGTCTTTATATTTTGCCTGGGTATACTATGCTACACATGAATGATTCAGCATCATCCTGTTAGGAGCTATGGTTATCATTGTTTGATGTATTCAAAGAATGTGAAACTCAGCAAAATACAACACTATATATATATATTACATATTATATATATATATAATACATATAATATATATTATATATTATATATATATAATACATATAATATATATTATATATTATATATATATATATATAAATCTATCTTCAAATGGAAACTCCTTTGCACTTTAAAAGGCTATCCTTCCAAAGTTGGGGTCGAAACTGTCATACATGATGTGAGGAAAAAGTTTGGGGTTCAGTTCATACTATGCTAATGGCAATCAACACAAAGGTAAATATTATTTGGATTAGAACCCAGCAATTTTAATGGGTGGGATCCTATGTGTAGAAACTGTGGACCATGGAATTCCTGCTGTGTCTTTGTTTATGTCAGGAGCTATGGGGATAGTGAGAAGGTGAAACAGGAAAACCTGCCTACATTTATTTATTAGATTCTTCTGAGTTCACCCTGTCCTCAGTTTGATTATAATCTATATTATCAACACAAAGACTATAATTATTGTTTGGATAGAAGGACTCTGTAGCTGAGCTAATGTAGAAGGAACTGATGGTTTGGAGCAGGTTTGACATGCTACTAGGGTGACTAGAATGGAATTTGTCTTTTCTTTTCCATTCTCATGGGCCAAATCAAAATATCTATCTCATTCTGTGTATTAATTTAACAAACACATACTACAACTCTATTTAATGTGCCACAGCATTGGCAGACAAGAAGGACTTTAGAAATATTTTATTCTTGGGTTAGAACCAGGTGAGATTTGAAGCGACCATGTTAGTCTAGTTTAGGAAGAAGTGGAGTCTCCTTCATGATTGACAGCAACAAACAACTCATCTTTTTATAGGTTAAGATTTCTCATGTCAGGCAGATCCTGAACAGGATGTTTATATCACTTGGAAATAGTCTTCTCTTGCTCTATCCTCAATTTCCCCTATCTATTTCCTCATTTCTAAAATGATCTGGTCTCTTTTTGGGATTTCCAACCAAATTGCCTGGTGACTAATTTGATGAAACCCTTCATTTTGCAGATGGCTTTGATTCTCCATCCTGCCTTGGACAGGTTTTTTTAAAAACAAAATTAGAAGCTAATTGAGATGAAATCCAGCTCAATAGGAGATATTAAACATAAGAGCTCAAAGAAATTAAAGTTCCATTGACTATTACCTCAAGAGAGCCCAAAAGGTACAACGAGCAGCGAGAAGCCCCCATATTCATGCCCATGCCCGTGCAGCTAAGCTCAGTGAAAAGTCTGTAACGGCACACCTATTGGGATAGAGACACAATCAAAGGGAGAGCAGAGCAACATAGTACTCTGATGGCACAGCAAAATAAAGAAGACATTGGCCTCCTTCCTTTTTAGCTTCCTTTTGGAAAAGTGAAAGATGTAGGGATGGATAATTGCACATATGTTACCTTATGGTTTTCCATATAAAACCCTGACAAAGCCATTGTATCAGTTTGATGCTTTGAAGATCATCTGCTTACTATGGTATCACTATCCCATTGTCTTTCCTTTCTACTTCTAAATATATTATTTATATATTTAATGTCTAATTTCCAATAAAAGTCACTATATATTGTATATTATCCTCAAATAGACACACAGGAACAAATAATCCCAATTACATTAAAAAAAAGAGAGAGATCTGATTGCTATTGTACAGGAACAGATACAACTATAGACACGAAAACCCTTCTGTGTGATGCTGTCAGGAAACAGGAAACATTAACTTAAATCCATGTCTTCCATTGGCTCCTTCCCCTTCCTCTTTGCTCTTGGATTACAAATACTCTTTAAAGTGCAATTCTCCAAAGGGGGAGCAGAGGCCCCATCATGAGTGTCTTCACTGCTTTCCTTGATTGAACATTTCATACTGATCATGTAAAGTGCTATGGCGTAGTTTTAAAAATTGGGAATTGGTTTTCCTCTTCTAGCATCTTGACTAATCCCTTGGTTTCCTTCTCTCATCTTTGATACTTTTTACCTTGTGGCTCCTATGTTCTTGTAATTACACATGAGAAGATGTTTGAAGGTTTTCTTGAAGGTGGCATTGCACAGCGCATAGCAAGCAGGGTTGATGGTGCTGTTGATGTAACAGAGCCAGTAGCCAATTGTCCATACTGTATTGGGAACACAGGTTGCACAGAAGGTGTTTATAAGCACCATGACATTATATGGGGTCCAGGTGACGATGAAAGCCAATAGGATAGCCAAGATAGTCCTGGTCACTTTCTTTTCTCTCGAAGGAGGAGGTTTCTTTTTTGCAGGCTGCTTAGTCATCTTCACAATCTTGCGGGCAACAATATTCTGTTTATCATCCCCATTCTGTCCCGAAGGACCCACAATCTCTACGGTGGTATTGGTGGGAGCACAGCAGTCACCCTTCTGTGTCTTGGTGACAATTTTGATGCAGGTCAGCTTGGAATTCTCTTCTTTGGAATGACCCTGGGAGGTGGAAACTGTATTTTCCTCTCGGGTTATATCATCTTCTTTGATGTTAGAAGCCACAGCACTGACAGAGGTGGAATCATTGGAACTCTCTTTCTCCTCCCCTTGAATACAGTTTTCAGTCACTGCATCTCTGGTAGCTTTGCCATTTTGGATTTTGTTATGCTCCAGACCATCATCACTGGTGGGGATGTTATTGTTGTTTGGCTTCACGATTCTGCCTTGGACCAGACTTGGAGAGACTGGATCCTGGTTTGCCACAGATTCTTTTTTGTCTTTTTTTATTCTGCTCTTGCTGGCTCGGGATATGTGCCAGTACAAGACTGACATGATGATCACAGGCAAGTAGAAGGCAGCAATGGCTGTCCCAAAGGTGACAGCGGCATTGGAGAAAAATTGAATGTAGCACTCTCCATCCTTCACAGTCCTTACCCCTACAATGAACTGCCAGAAGAGAATGGCAGGTGCCCACAGTACAAAAGACAGGACCCAGGCAGCTGCAATCATCATGCCTGCCATTTTGGTGGTCCTCTTGACTGGATAGGTTAGTGGTTTGGTGACACAAAAGTATCTGTCAAAGCTGATGATGAGTAGGTTCATAACAGAGGCATTGCTGACAACATAGTCCAAGGCTAGCCAAAGGTCACACACCACAGGCCCCAAGGGCCAGTAGCCAATCACAGTGTAGAGAGTGTATAAGTTCATGGAGAAGGCGCCTATGATGAGGTCAGCACATGCCAAGCTGAACAAAAAGTAGTTGTTGACAGTCTGGAGGTGGCGATTAACTTTAATGGAGACCATGACCAGGATATTTCCAATGGTGGTGACCAAACTGAGTGATCCTGCTACCAGTACAATGAATATCACTTCTACTGTTTTATATGGACTTGCAAGAACCATTCCATTGTTAGTGGAGTTTGAGCTTGTTGAATTATTCATTTTGGGTTTCTCTGATAAGGAGCCAGGTGTCCAATTGACCATTTAAACCTGTAGGAAAATGGGGAAAAAAAAAAAAGAATGGATATCATGAGAAAGAGACTTTAAGTGCTATGGAGAGAAGCTTTCTTTCCCCTTTCCACCACCTTTGCCTCTTCTCCTACCTCCCCAACATCCACTGTAAAATAAAATAAAATGAAAGGGAAAGATTTTAAAATAGAAAACAGCCAATTCACTGATTCAATTCAACCGACATTTAGTTAGGACCTATCATGTGTAAGAAATTGTGATAGGTGCTGAGAATTCAAACATGAAAACAAAATAGGTCTTACCTTATATTCTACTTCATGGAGGTTGGAAAGGGGCATGTAACACATACATAAGTAATTACAAAATAATAGCATGTAGTTTCAAGAGAGAGAAAGTGTTCATACGTAGGGCTTTTAGAAAAAGTCTTATATAGGAGATAGAACCTTTTAATGCACGTAGGGAAAATGAGTTACATGTGAGCAAGAGACATAGGGGGCCTCTTGAGTAAAGCTGAAGAGGGAGGAGATGGAATATCATGTATGGGTGACACCTAGAAGGCCGGTGCAACTACAACGGAAATATATGAAGGAGGAGTAAGAAGACTTATACGACTGATAGGTTGGGTTATGAAAGAGATTGGAGGCAGATTGAGAAGGGCCTTAAATGCCAGGCTAATGGGAAATAAGCATAGGCAGACAGGTTTCTTTGAGGCCCGTTGATTATTGGCCTATGTGCTGAAGATGAATGTTTGTCCAGGTAAAGAAATAATGACCCAAATCATTGAGAACAAGTAGAAGACTGAAAAATCAAATGAAAGTAGCTCTTGGAGAAGTTGAATAAGGTAAGGTCATTGTGAACATTCCATTACCTTGCTCACCAGTTTAGCTGAGGAAACTAATGGAACAAATACTCGGAGAAAAGTTTCCTAAGTATCTTGAGATTTACAGGATGAAAAAAATGAAATGTGATGACAATAGTAAAAGATGAGGCAGTATAATTGTAGCATCCTTAGCATTAATTTTAAGCTCTGCTTGAATAGGTTCATAACACCTTTTTTTCTAGATAGTTCTCAGTATTCTGTTGTAATAACTCAGTTTTAATTGGCTTTCATCTGAAAATTGTCATCCATAGTAAAATGTGCTTAAAAGTTGATTCATGGCCTGAATGCCCTGCTGAGCCATTGAAATTTAATCACCATAAACTTTCTTTGACTGAATCACGTGCTTACCTTTCATCTAAAAGGTTTTGTTTTTGGAAATTTTCTTTGGGGATTAATGCATAAGCTGTAATTAAACTTAGAATCATAGAATTCTAATGCTAGAGGGACCTTGGAGATTATCCAGTCCAAACTCATTTTACAGATGAGGAGTCAGAGGCGCAAAGAATAACACAGTTAGTATGCTTTACAATTTTAAAAGCTTTTTACATCAGTTATCACATTTGATCCTCAAAGTTACCTTGGAAGGTAGGGAGAGCTGCTATTCTTATCCCTTTTTTTTTTGGTAAGTTTGGAAATTGAGGCTCAGAAAAGTTAATTAATTTGAGCAGTCACACACTTGGTAAAACACAGGCCAGGACCAGATCCCATGTCTTTTGACTTGCAGTGTTTTCTCCTTCACCATACTGTGTCCCTGTTTCTTTGAAGAATTTTAATTAGTCTAAAAGTGAGTGTATGCCAGTGTTTGGAACCTGGCTAATAACAAGATATAACAAGAGGAAGCTAGGAGTGATTCCTCCTTCAGGAACTATGTCAAGAAAACATGTAGTAGGTTTATGTAATCATTTACATAATCGGTTGGTTTTATTTCCACCGGATTGTTATATATGCTTGACTTATATAATACTTGCTTAGAAACAGTAATGCTGTGTGGAAAACAACAAAAAATTTCTTTTAGACATAAATACTAATATCTGAATGTTGTGATATCTTTTTTTCTTTATGTAAGATATTAGCAATACACGGTCTGGCATTTTTTAGACTATTCTTCTTCCCTTGGGGATAAAAAAATGACTTCTTTCCTTTTTCAAATCTCCTTCCACCCTAGGTATGCATTAGTAAAAGTTATCACTTCCTAAGTTATCAATGCCTATGGCTTGCAATTCAGTGAATAAGAAAATGATGGCAATATTATTAATGAGATCAATTGATCCAGAGACAAAGTGGAGCCGGCAAACTCCTAAGGATCAATTATCCTATTGTTATACATACATACACATATACATATACATATACACATACATATACGTTTCACATACAATACATATACATATGTACATACACACATATGTATGTGTGTGTGTGTGTGTGTATATATATATATATATATATATATATGTAAAATCTTTATCCATTTGGCATTTTTTGTTCTCAATGAATAAGAAATTGACCCATACCATTAACTTTCATTACTATTAATGTTAATTTTATTAAAAATTTAAAATTTGGGGTACAGCTACTACTGTTGGCAGAATTTTAACATTGGTGGAGTGTGTCTTTGGTAACTTTTATATAGTCTTTTGCATAATACTAGTTCATATTTCTTTATAACAACCTTTTGAGTAAGATAGTACAAGTATTACTCTCATTGTATGTATAAAGAAACTAAGACTGAGAGAGTTTATCGGATTTGCTCCATCCCTATAGCTCACAATGAATGTAGCCAGAATTTCAACCTCTCTAATGACTCCAAGTGTAAGACTTTTCCATTATGCCACACTGCCTCTTAATTTCCCCTTTCCTTTGGCCATGTTACTAAAAATTTTCTCCCAATGTTTGTTGAATTTACTCAAGATACTTGAACTGTGTTTACCCCCTTCTGGTAGTATTCAATGTGTTGCCTCATCCCTATCTCCTTAATCACTCCTTGCCCTATTCCATCAGCTATCTATTTCTTAAGTGGGTGAAGGCTTGATAATCTGAGCAAGGAATTATTCTTATTAGGTATGCCTTCTGGCAGGATTATGGAATGTCACATTTGAAAAGAAGCTTAGAGGTTATTTGGTCTTCTCTTAAGTAAGTTGGTCCATTTTAACAAGCACCATATGAAGAAAGTGTTTTAATAAAAAAAAAAATAATGGCCACAATAGTGGGTCGTTAGATATTGAGCCAGGCCAGCAAGAAAAATGTATTTTGGGTCAAGAAATAACAAAGAGGTAGCATGGTATAGTGGAAAGAATCCTGGTTCTACATCCTAGCTCTAATACTTACTTAGCTATGTGTGTGATCATGGGTCAGTGGCTGTATTTCTCTGAACCTCAGGTTCCTTTATTATAAAACACAGATAAAATCTATGTTACTTATTTGCATTGCTTATATTAGCAGAAAAATTCTTCATAAGTATAGTTAGCATACTTTACATTTTGGAGACTCTCAGGAGATTTAAGACCTAAGTCATACATTCAGACAGGGCTAGGTTTATTGATATCAGGTCCAACAGTTATCCATAAATGTTTCATTGGAATAATGGGTGTCAAATTTGTTTTTTTTCCTCTTGTATCCTATCTTAAAACAACAATTAGTTTTCATTTCCTCTTATGTATGTGTATATCTAGTTTTACAATCAGCTTCTATGTTCCATCATATCTTTCTCTCTATAAATATCTTATTCATTAATATCCTTCATGTAGCTATCTCTACCACTTTGTTGTTATCTTTATATATAAATAGCCTGTTCAATCAATAAATGTTTATTAAGCACCTACTATGTACCAGATATTGTGGTAAGCACTGGGGATACAAAAAGAGGCAAAAAATGCCCTTATTATGCCCACTTATAATTGAATGGAAGAGACAACAAACAAATATATGCAAGCTATAGATAGGATAAATAAGGAATAATTAACAGAATTATGATGAGTTGGGAAAGGCTTCCTCTAGAAAATGGGGTTTATTTGGGGCTTAAAGGAAGTCAGGAAAGCTTATTATTCTGTACAACCTCATAGATAGATATAGACTCATCTATAGTCATATAAGATATTCCTTTATATAGAACTCAATGCTTTTCAAAGACAGTAACTGGAATCACCAATCTATTACTCTGTTGCTATATATCTGTCATCTTCTGAGGCTCTGTTCTCTTCTACTGTTCTTCATCCTTTCCCACTTCCATTATTCCTTCACTTCTCTTCAGATTTCTTAATACCACTTTAGGGCAATGTTATTGCTCAGGGTAATCAGCACATCTTTAGTTCTGTCTTTAAAAAAATTTGCAATCTCCACTCTGCTAAAGCAAATTTGGGGCTTTTCAGGCTCATTTTCTCCATGCAAAAGTTTCTTAGCCCCTTGTCCTAGTTCTATTACAGTGAAAAAATTCCATTTATGTCTATATCTCTATCCCTACCTACCTTTCTATCTGTACATTCATCTGGCTGTCCTGAACAAAGAGGAAGATGGCTACCCCTTCCTTAACTTAGGAATCTTATCTAAGTCAGATAAAAGTCTATATGGAGTCACTATGAGAGCATCAAATTCAGTATTGGGAGATAACTCTAAAAATTAATCAACCACCACTACAAGAAGGAATGCTACCTTTCATGAGAACCTTTCCTTCACAAGACTGTAAGATAGGTAGGCAACGAGATAGTTAGAGTATCTTGCTCCTAACCTTTGGCCCAGGAGGTATTGAATTTCCCCATTAAAGAAACCTGCTACATACCCTGGAACCACGTCTTCCAGGGCCCAAGTGATAGCTTGACTAATGGGGCTTAAATAATTGTCCATTCTTTTCTACTGCCTCCATGGATCAGTACATGGATCAGTAACCATTAAAACACTATAGAAATAGAAATTATTTTTATAATATTCTTTTTTTCCCTGCTTGAATGTAGGCTAATTCCTACTCTTTCTGAATGTAGAGGAAATATTGAATACAGGTCTCTGCTTTGCTCTGACAGCATATTCCATTGTAACTTAATATAGTAAGTGGCAAGGTTGCTGGCAAGGACCTAGACCTATCTGGATCTTGATTTCATACCTTTAATGAATATCTTAGACAAGATGGTATTTAGAGTCTCTT